CCCCAAAACCCCAAAACCCCAAAACCCCAAGAGTTTGTTATTTCATGATTTAGAAATTAATTGCAATCATAGTATGAGAATTATTGTAACTTTATTTATTACTTGTCTTAATATTTCATTATAGTTCTTGTTCATAATTAGTTATTCAATTATTAAAAGTCTTCCCTCATTTAATTAAATGTCTTCAAAATTATCACAATAAAAATTTCAACTATATCTAATTGTTAATTAAATAAAGACTTACAATATCTTATTACAATTCCATATTGTTCACTTGGAAATATGTTTTATTATCTTTTGATTTCTACTGCTCATTTATTTTTCTATAGCTTTAGTACAAGCATTTCTATCATAATGAAAAGATGAATACTTTAGGACTATCTTATCCTATAGATATGAATTTATTGGTTTAAAGTTTTTGAAATGATAATAGTAAATTAATATTATAATTTATAATTATTAATAATGCCTAAAAAATTCGGGACCAACGAGAAGTACTTATATCTTTTTCATAATATATAAAACTTATAGAAAAGTAGAAGGCCAAATGCGCAAAGAGGCCAAGAAATAAACTGAGTAAGATAAGCAACGCTAAGCGAAAGAAGATTCTTAATGGCATGATCCTGATCCAACGGCTGCTAAAAAGGCTCAGAAAAAACTGGAAGAGGAGGAAAAGAAGGAGTAATTACTAAAAAATAAGCTAGAAAAGTAGTAGCTATTAGAATAGGAAGAAAAGGAGATTCAAGCGGCAAAGATTAAAAAATCTACCTAAACTGGAAAGAAAGCAAAATAGTATGATGCAGCAGAGGCATAGAAGAAAGCTTTACTGAAATCAATGTAGAAAATGATGGGAGGGATGAGCGTTGAAGAAGAGAAAAAAACCACTGATGTGAATGATATTGAGGAGATCAAGAATGACATTGAGGAAGTTAAATAGGAGCCAATAGAGATGATAAAGCAATAACCATCGAAGTAGTAAATGAATGCAGATAATTCTGATGATGATGATGATCAGAAAGACAAACATCCTGAGAAGAGAATGAAAGCAGCCTTTTAGAAATTTGAAGAGGAAAGACTGAAGGAATTAAGAGAGGATTACCCTACGTTGAAAATGCAATAGCTTAAAGAAAAGGTCTGGAAAGAGGTAAGTTAATTCACGTTAGCGATAATCATCTTTATAGTGGAAGAAAAGTCCCCTTAACCCAATGAATTAATAGTGAAGATTTTATTTCTGATTGAATCTGCATGCCAGGATTAAACAGAACATCAATTAGGATTGATTTAAATGCTTAGTTTAATTTATTAAGAGAACACTTAGACTATATCAAGCATTTATCTGTTCATAAATATTGTGAGTAAATGTTAACTTATTAAAAAAGAATATATTTTTAACAATCAATCTTGCATACTTAATGATAATTAACATCGTTGAATAATCACTCATAGATATCAAAGTATCATTATTGCTTCAAGTATGCAGGTAATAATTAATTCACATATTATAATCAGTCATATTAAAATGTGTGAAAATTTCTCATTATCAGTCATCAACTCATATTTGAAGTGCTTCATCTGGAATAATAAAGAGTTCTTGGTTCATCATCTTGAATCGCTTGGCGAACTCTGTAAATCTAGCACATAAGTGCATCTCTGCTTCAAAGTCAGAGAAAATATCTGGGTGATGGAAATATGTGTGAGTAAAGAGTCTGTATAATCTTCTCACAATGGAAAACAGATGCTTGGTACTTGCAGCTGGGATTGAGACACGGGAGTTGAAGTTTTTATTATTGTGTATGAGACTCGTTGAATTGTCAAGAGAGTGTATCATGTAGTCAATAGCTGAGCACTCCTAAGGAGCTTTATGTGAAGCACACAAATACAGCCATTCATCGGTAGCCTTCATTTTAGGGCAGGATTTAGTTGTGCAAATGCCTTGCAATTAAACAACCAATAAATTTAGCTCCAGGATAAATTATCTGATGTGCTCATATTACCAAACTGCTTCATCTACCTCTTTTGGTGGCTCACAAATTTTCTTGATTAGAGAGGGATCGTTTCCTATCATTGAAATAAATAATTCGGTACTGGTAATGAATAATTACTTATCAATTCTTGCAGGTATTCTTGAACTGCAAAAGGCCCATTCATATTTGAAATGTCTTCCTACTCCCTATTTGTCATATAAAGATTAGATATTCTCTTACCAATTCCAGAGATCAGCAGCTTTAGTCCCAGGTCTATTTCTTCTCAAATTCATATTTAAAAAATTTTATAACTATTTTATTATATATGAAATTACTATTCATCTCGCTTGCATTACACTCTAACTAGAGGGGTTTTGGGGTTTTGGGGTTTTGGGG